TCTGAGGTTTCCTCACAGAAACCCATGTCCCTGGGGTCTGGATCAGTCCCATGTTGGTATCCCAGGTATCAGACTGGGGAGCAAGAGTTCCCCGATGTTCAGGTCAGCTGTTTCCGTGGGTTTCACCAGCCTGGTCTGGACCCCTTTGCTTTTCACTCATACTTCTCTGCGACTGGGTTTTTAAAACTAATTCTGTCATGTATGTAGTATATAAATTAAGTGGCACCATACACATAAAATACATATAAATATAAAAATATAAAACAATGGCATTTAGCTGGGTGTTTTGATTGTATCTCTCCCTTTTGTAGTTTGTAATGCATGAGAAAAAGACATTTCAAAGAGATGATAAATACGATCAAATTGGGCACCCTGAGAGAAGTGACTTCAAAACAGAAATATGCTTCATGGAAAATATCAATTTCATTATTTTATTTGTTCTATAGGGAAACAACTAGTCAGAATAATCAGTGGTGTGTGCCACATGTAGCCATTAAAAATCTGGATCCTTTAGTGTCATAGGGAGGCAAAGGAGTATTGGGATTACAACTAAATGCTTTAGTTTTAATGTCATTGTGCTTATTTTTTGTTTTGTTTCCTTTTTCTAAACACGGTTTCTCTGTGTAGCTTTGGAGGCTGTCCTGGAATTTGCTCTGTAGACCAGGCTGGCCTTGAACTCACAGAGATCGGCCTGCCTCTGCCTCCTGAGCGCTGGGGTTAAGGGCGTGTGCTATGGCATGACTTCTGACACTCAAGTTTCAGATTTTGGCTTTTCAGATTAGGATGCTCAATGTGTATTACTTATAAAGTTTCAGCTTGCTTTTACAGACAAGGGGCACATGAAGACTATGCTGCAGGGCAAAGGCTATTAGACAAGCTGCATGAGGAGAAGCAACACACACTCCAGCCGTGACCAGGACAGTCTTATCCACATCTGCTTTTACAGTTACTGCCAATACTTCCCCTTCCATTCTCAAAAATGCTGATTTGAATAGCAAATTCTTATGTTTTTGAGAATGAAATGCTCTCATTTTCACCAGCAGCATAAGATACTTCTCTAAATTCAAATGCCTGAAGCAAAACTCTACTAGGCCAGCTATGTCAGACCTAGGTATGCAGTCTGAATATATGACAGACTACTGAATTCCAAAGCTGTCATCTTGCTGACTTTATCACTGTCTTCTCCAATATAAGGCAGGTCACGTGACAGGAAGAGTCCTATAGACCCCATGGGTTTCATGGAAGGACCAGAAAACACCACCACTGCTGCTGAGCTGCTGAAGTTACTAGAATTTAGAGATGAAAACCTGCTTTGAATGACTGTGCAAATTATATAGGATACAGTCACTTCTACCCCAAGAAAAATCCACTTTCTCTCCATAGCGGCTTTAAGCTTATTTTTAGCTCACTGCAGTGGGTGGACAGCTGGCTGTGTCTAAGCCAATCTCAAGGATGAGTCTGACCCTCTTGTCTCCAGGCCTCCATTCTGAGCAGCAGAGCTGCTAGTCACTTGCCCTGGCAGGTATGAACATGCTGTACCAGGAGCTGTAGTTTAAAGCTAAGGATGATGAGGATGGCAAACCATTTCTGCCTGCCTTCCATGAGAAAACTGCCAGCAATTTTCTTATGATTGATATGCCTAACCGGTACATGTTTTAATCTTTAAAATTAAACACAAGCACTAGGAGATTAGCTGTAATTCACAAGCCTGATTTTCACAGAGCTGGAATTCTAATTACATAAACTTGTTAACAGTGGTAAAAACATCCTATTTCCAATAGAAAAGGAAAATGAGAGTTTGTAAGAGCGATAGTGACAGAAGCTTGTATGTTAGAGACACTTTCTGAACACTAATAGAGAAGATATGTTATATCCAACAAATTACTTGGTTCAAAATGCTCATAAGGACTGCTAAACAGCCACTGAAATAGTACTGTATAGACAAACACAGCATTAGCAACTGACTCCCACTCACTTTTCCTAAAGAAAATCACTCACTCACCGAAAACACAAATGCACTCAGAACATCTAATGTAATACCATCTTGGTGCTTTTATCACAGAAGGGAAATACTTGTTTCTCTTTGAGAAGTTCTTGTCAGTAACTTATTTTTCTTGGCTTCTATGTTTTTATAATGGCTTCAAACAATGAGGATATGTATACTTAGGAAAATACATATTGCCATAGTAATCACTGATTTAAATTTAAACTCTTTCTAAACAGTCCCTCCCATAAGAGAATAAGATCTGGTAATTTATTAAGAATTTTAATTGTTCCCTGTGAATTTATGATAACCTAAATTTTGTAGACAAAGATGGCATAAAATGCATTATCAATAAACTCCCATCACAACAATAATTTTCCAGGTAATAAAACTCTCACTACCTCTGATCAACAATGTATTTGGTTTGAGCATACACAAGGTGGGATGTCAGCCATGTGCTAGGAATCTGATTGTTCTCACTCTCTCTCTCATCTATAAAGCTAAAATAAGTACCCTCAGATCTGTTTTAGTTTGATAACTTTAGAAGCCTATCATAGAGAAAAGTTTATGGTGACTGAAATCAGAGCATCTTAGCAAATGAATTAAAAGAGCACTTTATACAGTGTTCATATTTGGACACTGATTTGCACTGGATTATGAAATAACAAGACCCACAGTCATTCAACAAAAGGACACAGACTGATAAAGAAACAAATATTTCCCTTTATTTGAGTGTATTACAACTACTTGTGGGATATGCATAATAACTGAAATCCTTAATTTACAGGTCTATAAATGCTGCTACTTAACTGAGAACCAGCCAGCAAACAGTAGCCACCTGAAGAGCACTACTTATGGAGGGTTTCCCACATCAATTCAGGGTTTCCCACACCAACTCAACTTAGTGTCTACAGTAAATTAGGAACTAGAGACATCTAAGAGTCAGAAGAACAATGCTCAAATTATTTATCAATAGTGGGTTTCCTTACTCCTTTGCCAGATGCACATTGGTAGGCTTTGCTCCAATTGGGATCCCATATTTGTGCAAAGTGTTCATCAAAATTTCCCTCATGTCATTGTTGTAAGAATCAAAATCAAATACATTCCGAACCACACTGGCGAGACCTTCGGTGGGAAATTTCTATATGGGAAAAAAAACAAAAAACTTCATTATATAAGTGATAAAGCATACAACATTATAAAGGTTTATAAAACCGATAGAGTAATAGTATACTAATGAATTTCAGCAAAAATGCATTGGCTGTGTTTGATAATCAGACGGTAGGAATACACCCTTATCTTTAGTGGTCACTGAGATAGCTTATTTTCCTTTTGAGATACACAATAGAAATAGTGGAGGTCAGTTCTTCCTCTCAGGTGTCAGGGCCCTGCACAGACTTTCTGTTGCCTTCTGAAACCTGCCTACTGCTGCACTTTCAAACCAGCCAAGATGGGAAACAGACTAGGTGCCCACTGACAGATTGATCTGTGGTATGTGCACACATCGGGATTTATGCAGCCATACAGAATGAAAGTGTGTCACTCACAGGAAAATGCATGGAACTGGAGATCATGATATAAGCCAGAAGCAGAGAGGGAAGCATTCTGTATTTTCTCTCATATGTGGGATCGGGACTGAACAAAATACACAAAGGACATGAGAGTAGGAGCAGGGACTGTGAGTGGTGAGAAAGAGGTTTAAAGGGAGAGAAGGGGGACAAAAGAGGGTGATAAGGCAAAGACAAAATATCACATTTTCTCTTACATGAACAATCGGTTTTAACTGTATATACACACATGGAAGAACGGAGACGGGAACGATTTGGGCAGAAAGGAACCAGTATGAGGTGAAGAGGAGCCACAGGGGCGAGCAGCGGGGGAGGAGTGGATGGAGCAAGGTACCACGCCATGTATGTACAAAAAGCGCGGGATGAAACGCGTTATTCTGTACTCTACACAAAAAGCAATTAAAAAAAAAGAAAAACGGGCCGGGCGTTGGTGGCACAAGCCTTTAATCCCAGCACTCGGGAGGCAGAGGCAGGTGGATCTCTGTGAGTTCTAGGCCAGCCTGGTCTCCAGAGCGAGTGCCAGGATAGGCTCCAAAGCTACACAGAGAAACCCTGTCTCGAAAAACCAAAAAGAAAAAAAAAAGAAAAAGAAAGAAAGAAAGAAAGAAGGAAAGAAAGAAAAAGAAAAACGGAGTAAGAGATTGACCAATTTAAACATACTAGCTAAATAAGGTGTTGAATGTCAACACAGACATCTCTAGAAAACTCAGTCTATGAATAAATGGAGGAAAAAGATAAATGGTAGAGAGGGGAAGGCCGACTTAAATGCAGGAAACATTTAAGGTGTCTGCCTGCTGGCATGCGGCGGTGACGGACGCAGGAGTCACCGCAGGTTGACATAAGCTGGCAGTTCCCCCGACTAATTTATTTTTCTTTTGGTGCTGATATCCAAGCTGGTGTGCTGGACTTAGCAAGGCTTTATAGGTAGAGTAAGCCTTTTCTTTTTCTTCTCATGTATGTTTTTTAGATGATAGAATACGGTATTTCTGATCTACACCTGACTCAACCTTTCTGCTCCCTCATGACCTCTGCAGAAGGATATGTGATAGGCAGGGTTTTGGTTGCAGGGGGGTGGGGGGTGGAGGGGTGGTAGGGAGGAAGGGAGAAGGGAACTGGGATTGTCATGTAATTGAATCTTGTTTCTAATTCAAATAGAACAATAAAAAGAATACAGTATTTCTGTATGTGTATATGTTATAGAATAATTAAACCAAGCGAATGGACCTATTTGTCATTTTGTGTAATTATGTTTTAATGGGGTAACCATTTAAAATCTACTCTCTTAGCAGTTTTGCAATGAAAATTCCATTATTATTAACAGCTCTTCAGTTACTGTGCTGGGTAATAGCTTCTCTTCCTTTGCAACTGAAGTTTTCTCCCTTTAAAAATCTCCCTTCCTTCTTACCTTCCAGTAACCTATTTTTCAGTGACGTTTTCTTAGAGGGTTAGAGACTGAATAGAGTTTGTTCATGAGTTAAAGGCTGTGACTGTTAGGAGGGAGTTCATTAGTTCCTATATAGAGTTTACATGATTTTTTGTTTTGTTTCTTTAACCAAGTGGACTATATATTGTGCATGACCAGAGGAATTTTATTCTCTCAAGTACTTATCCTATCTTGACAAATGTTCTTTTAGTATATTAACAGTTCTTGCTCTGATTTCTACCTTCATGTCATTTGTAATACTTTCTATTCAGATAGCACATGCTGGTTGTAAAAAGCCAAACATTTCCTTGTTGTTAATTATTTTCCTCCTCCACCTCCTCCTCCTCCTCCAACACACACACACACACACACACACACACACACACACACACACACACCCCAAAAAAACCAAACCAAACCAAAAACAACCCATTAAATTTCTTAGCTGATTAGTAATGATCATGGCACAAAATCTTGCTAAACTAAAACCAATTCAAAGACTAAAGTAAGAATGATGACTGGTCTTCATGATTTATTACTTAAATTATACATACTTCATATCAGGTTATCTGACTGATTTATAACAAAATGGAAACACCAGTTATAAACTGTAAGACACAATGGTTTCTTCTAGATACCTCTGCACTGATGTATACCATACCTGTAAATGTTTGACAATGTTGACAACTTCTCTGGTAGAATAAGGGTAGTTAATAATCCCTTGGTCAGCCAAGTTCCTCAGCTCTCCAAAGGCTGCCACGAGCTTCTGAAGGATGGCTTCAGGCACGTTTGGGCCATACTGTTTGAGCATCTCAAGCTCTGAATGGGGCTTGGGGTTATCAATGGCATGACAGCTAAAAATGTCACCTACAGAAAGGAAGAAGGATTACATTCAGTGAGCAGTCAATCCACTGTAATATGCACAACAAAATGCAGTAGTGGTTTGAAGAGCCAGTAGTTACTCAGCAACTCACAAGGAGCCCATTTAACAAAAGAAATGCCCTAACCAGAAGAAAACTAAAGGATGTGTGGCTTATTCTGCACGAGCGAATTTCCATTAAAAGTTATGATACCTGAATACATGCTTCCTGGGAGATATTAAAATACACAGGGGCAGACTCCTTTGTCCTTGCCAAAGTACTCAGTGGTAATGGTTCAGTCTAGACCAGCAGCAACAAGACCTTATTTTGATTTAGGCACCATGTGGATAAACAGCTATTTTGTGTGTACATATGTAGGAGTGCTGTGTATATTTAAAAGAAACACAACCGCTTCAAACTTCATCTCACAGACTGACATTTTCAAATACAAACATTCAGGGTGGCTTTTTTTCCCATTGAAAATTAAAGTTATCATGAATGTAAAAAGGTACTTGGTCCCTCTACCATGCAGTCATCAAATAATTACTAAACATTTTCCAGACACTAAG